CTCACATGCTTTATTCCTAAGTTATGTATCCTTTTGTCATCTTCTAGCCTTTGAATTGTTTCTTTCTGGTTCCTCGTTATTTTTAAGAGATCTTTTCTTTTGTGATCATATATCATAAATCTCTCTTCAAGTTTCAAAAGGCTAACTTTAGTTTCTGTCAAGGTGTTTTGCCAGTTTTCAATGAAGTTTTTAGTTTCCTGGTAATCTCTTTGGATCTGTTTCATGTATTCTAGGTTACATTTAAATTCTTCATCAAAGGTTTCTCTTTCTTTTCTGATTTCCTCTGTTCTTCCATCTGTGTTCTCTTGTGAGAGGCTTATTTCTTTAATTAATCTTTTTATATCTTGCCTCACTTGGATCAGAAGTACAGTTTTAAATTCATCTATGAGGTCATGAAGGTATTTCTTTATGTCTGCTGATGCTGTGTCTAGTATTGGATGGTTAGTGTGATAACTCGGACCCTGGAATAAAACCTAAGGAAGCAAGAAATTAAAATTTAGGGAGCAAAGGCTTTATTTTAGGCCAGGCCTGGTGACACAGCCTCCAGGAGCCAATTTGGAGACTGCACACCTGACAGCTAAAAGTCAGGGCTTTTATCTTTAAAATCCACAAACAGCTGCTGGTCACACAATGTAAGGAGGGGGGTGGGGTGTGTTACACTACAAAACAGAAAGGGCGATTACACGTCTTGGGAAGAGCAAGATCAGGTAAGGGTTGTGCTAACAAGCAAGTCTTCCTGCATACAAGCAAGTTTAGATAAGAAGAAATCTTGTTTTCCTTAGCGAAGAATAGAGAAGTCTAACAGCAATTAACAACCTTAGTTACTTTACTTTAGCACCACATCTGTTATTTGTAGAGGGAAACAATGATTAACATATCAATTAGGTAAGATTTTACCATTCTTTACAGAGGAGAGCATTGATTAACATATCAATTAGGTCATCCAGAGGGGGAAGGGAAAAACACATATACAGTAAGGCCAAGTTAAGGTTATTGTTACAGGTATTGCTATGATACAAATATAACGAAGCTATTTTTCTAGAGTACAATAGTTAGTGCACTGGTTCTCTTCTGTATTTACTTCTTTTGGGCTTATTTTCCCAGGTTCGGCAGCTGGAGATTTTTTTTTAATTTTCATTTCTTGTCATGTTTCTGGTTTCTTTCAGACTGTTGCATCCTGGGGGTCTCTGGTCCTCTCCGTATTGCTTAGGGTCTTTCTGAAGTGTGCTGACTGGGGTTTTGCTGCCCTCCTCAATTTGCTGTTATCTGAGGTATATGCAGGGATGCAGGGACGGTGCAGGCTAGCCCTGAGCCTCTGAGCCAGTCAATCCGCAAGTTAGGCTGTACCTTGTGGATGTCACAGAGTCACGACAATTTTGTACTTGCTTATTGAGTCCCAACCAGAGGCATAGCTCAGCCCCAGCAGACCCCACCAGTTCTATTTGCACCAGGGGTGGCTGACTGGTGTCACTGCGGCACCAGGCTCTGCCCAACTCCAAGATTTTCTCCACCAGTCCTCTCAGTGTCAGGGGTGGCTGACTGACGCCACCATGGTGCTGGGCTCTGCCCAATTCCAAGATGTCCTCCACCCAGCAACAGCAGCCGCAGGACCCAGTCCCTAGCACTCACCGGAAATCAATGCAGTTCTTCCTCTTGGGTCCACTGCATACTGCCCTGTGTATCTTCACTGCACTCCCAGCACAGAGTGCATTGGTCAGAAAACTTCGTGGTGCCTGGAGCTTCGGAGTCCAGGTGTATGGTCTTCTCACAGTCTCCTCCGGCGCAACCAGGTGGCTCTGGCTGCTTCACGGGGCCCCAGGTCCCAATTTCCAGCTCTCACCGGGAGCCAATATAGCTCTTACCCTTGGATCCACTGCTGGTTAAGGGCCTGGGATTCGCGGACTCCCATTATCAGCAGCTGTGGTCTCAGTGCAGCGCAACTTTGGATCCTCTGGGCGCACCTAGTACAGCGTGGGACGGGTCCCAGTGAACGTGTCGAATTTCAGCTCTCCACCTGCGCTTTTCCTTCCTTTTCCTAGTTTTATTTTTCCCTTCCGTTACCGCCTTGGTTAATAAGAATTGTTATTCAATCCTCTGGCCCTCTACATGTTGTCATATTCTAGCATCTGATTTGATTTCTCTGCAGAGACTCTCCGTCCAGCCCCCTAGCAAGCCATCATGTTTTCTCCTCTGTTATCTAAGTTTTTGACATCTATAGAAATGGTTGTATACTTTTTCCTTTTGTCTTCTAGTACTCTTGATATTTCTGGATTTGGTGATTCTCTTTTCTTAACGCACTGTTAGAACCTATTTATAAAAGTTCTAAATAAGAATGGAAGCATTAATATTATTGATAAATGATAGTTGATGGCTGATCTTGTTTTTTAGGAGGTATTATCTTTGCTTTGATATTAGTGTTCTGCTGACTTGATGAAAAATAATTGGGAATGTTAAATTGCATTCTTTACTCTGAAAATTTGATAGACTTCTCCTGTGAAAGAATGCAGTTTATCATTCCCATTTCGGTCCCTGCTTGTGGAGATGTTTAGTCTTTTGGTGGTTCTTTTCTCCCAAGGTTACTGGTCCAACTAAATTAGACATACGTAGTTTGAAGTTCTCATTAAGCTGAGTAGAAATAAGCTGGTCTCTGGAAGGATCATTTCATGCAGAGAACTTGAGCTTTGAGGACTGACCCATTTGGGTTTGAAATATGGGTTACCTGGACCTCTCATTAATCTTAGAGATTCATCTGCAGAAAGGGGCAACCTTTGCAATTTATTGTGAGCATTAAATAATCCAGTGTATAGACAGTGTCAAACCTTGTGTCTTATTACTGATATTTGACGAATGTTAGATGTATTTCATTCTATCCTATCCTCTAATTTTGTTTTTACTCATGACTTTGATTGTACTTGTTTCCAGTTCTTTCAGTATTAACATCTTTCAGTCTGCCAGAACTCTTGACAACAGTAATCAGAATTTGAAATCTTCCTATTGTACTTTAACTGTCTCATAATGTGTTTTCCAGTGGTTTGTGTGACTTGATGCCTCAGAGACATAGGTAGCTGTATGCCTGTTCTGTTCCGTTTCCTGTGCTTCTACTTTTTCCCTTTTTTCTCCCTTCCCCTCCCCCTTCCCTCTCCCTCTCCCTCTTCCCCTTTCCTTCCTTCCTTCCTTCCTTCCTTCCTTCCTTCCTTCCTTCCTTCCTTCCTTCCTTCTCTTTCTCTCTTTCTCTTGCTTTCTTGCTTTCCCCTATCTCTGTTTTCCAAATTCCCATTCAGATTCTTTCAAGCCTTATACCATACAACAAAGAAGGCACTTGTTTTGAAAATCTTGTTAATATCTTCTAGCATATGATTAGATAGGGATATAGACACATGAATACTTCTCAGTTTGTTTGTTTCCCTCTTGTTGGGAACCCTCACCCTCACCCTCACACTATTGTGATGGAATTAGGAATTGAGGGCTTTTGGGAAGTAACTGGGATGAGATGGGGTCATGAGGGCAGGGCCTCATATATAGGATTGTGCCCTTATTGGAAACCTAAGAGATTTTGATTCTCTGCTCTCTACCTGTAAGAATATAAGAAATGAGCAGTATGCAACTTTTAAGAGTGTTCTTCCTAGAATTCAACCATGCAGCACCCTGATTGCAGACTTCCAGCCTACAGAACTGAGAAACAAATTTCTGATGTTTATAGTAAGGCAGTCAGCCTATGGAAATTTGTTATAGCAGCCCAGACTGACTAAGGCAGATCATTTCAGTGTTATTGGCATGGGAAACTCAAATCTTAACAGGAAGCTATAGTTTAATCCTTTCCAGTGAAAATTCATTTGGATGCTCATATAGCAAGAAAATTAATGTTATTGGATCCAATGAATAGCCTTTGTGGAGAGAGATCAGAGCTGAAGCCTAGGAATGAAGTATGCTACATATTTCAGTTGAAATTCTAAAGGAATATTTTTTATATGAATGTTGTGCAGTTCCTTTCATGTAAAGACAGTTGAGGGCCTCCTTTGTTCAGAGTAGTACTCACTAGTGGAAATACAATGATAAGTTAGAATTGCATTTCTAGTTTTAAAACACAAAGTAGTACAGAAAAATAGATGTGACAGGCAATGGTAGCATAATGTGTTAACTATGATAAAAGTACTGTGGATTACACAAGGAAAGTTCCATTAAGTTTGGAGTAGTTAAGAAGGATTTCATGTTGGAGGTAACACCGAGATGTGTTTTTGGCTTATTTTGCTTTTTCAATGGTAGGGGTCCAACATAGGGCCTCGTGTGTGCTTATTGAGCTGAGTTTGAAGGCTTTTATACATTTTAAGGAAAACAGCATATGAAAAAATATGAAGGTGTGAATGTGGTATGACTGGGATAGCCTACTCAAGCATAATGTGCAAAAAAGGTCTTGCATAATAGTATAGCACCCAGTATACATTGTTGGCTACATGAACGAATCAGAATAAATAGTATACATACATCAGGTTCTTCTGTTTTTGACACGGGGGAACAGAACTCCTTTGTTTGGGAAAGTGTATTCTAAACATCAGTTTAAAAGTCGACCTTGGAAACACAGTCTTGGCTTACATTGGGAAAGGCATAGCTAGAATTCAGTATAGGGGGCTGGCGATATGGCTCAGTGGCAGTGTCTGTCTGGTAAGTGTGAGGTCCTGAGTTTGATTTCTGGTTCGAAAAAAAATCTAACATGAATTCCTAAGGTTTTTGCCTCCTGGTTACTTTATCCTGGGGATAACTCCTGATGAGTTAGTTACACACGGAACAGTGTTTTTTTTCATCCTGGAATTAAGTGCAAAATGTGATGACTGTCAGAAATGAAAAATAAATGATCTAATTGAATGCTTCTATTCACGTACATGGAATTAGTGCTTACCCCTTGTTTGCCATCTGGCTCAGAAGTTCTTTTTTTCACCTAAGGCAGTGGTTTTAAAGTGAGAATGTGTACCTATGAGAGTACACAGAAAAATTATTTTGAAATGTAGAGAGAAAATATTAACATTTTTATTTATGCTGTTTATGCCATTGCTTTATTTGTTTGTATATACATTATACACAACATACACATACAACACATGTACATATGTGCGCTTACATTGCATTCAACACATGTGTATACATAGAAATAAAATGAAGTTATATGCTTGTTCCTCTCCTTTCCTGCTCCTTTCTATTTTCCTGGGCATGTGTTGTCAGAAAGGTTTGATATCTATGATTTAAGGTTTTTTTTTTTTTTTAATTCAAGAGAAAAAAAGACCCAGAAAAGAAAAACAAAAAGCAAAAGAGACAGACAAACCCAAAACAATAACAGTATAGGTTTACAAAACAAGATGATAGGAATTTGACAATGATTGTAATATTGCATATTGTTACCTTCAAGAAGGTTGCTTAGATTACCAGATATAGACATGCAAAATTGATCTAATCATATGAATATTAACTGTGCTTTTCCAAGAACTAATACAATGAGTCGTATAGTCATTTTAGCTATCTTACATGTATATATATAACTTTATATCTTTTTCCTTTTCCCTTCCTTTTTTTCCTTTCCCCTATCCAAGTATGATTTGAGTTGTTAATGTAAAATACTTTCAAAGCAATCTAAAAATATTTAAAAGGTATGTTTGGGTTTTAAAAAGAATATGTCTCAGTGCCAGCTTAAAAGAAACACCTTAATGAAATAAACATAATGCATTATAATTGATGTTTAACAGTGTATACTGGAGTATTTTAGATTGTTTACAAGTAAGCAACTTTCAAAGAACAATCCAAATTACATTTTTCTTAGTGAAATGATACTGATGTCAATAAATGTCTTCTCTGCAGCAGTCCCGTTTGATACTTCCCTCCGAAATTGGTTAAACGTCACTGTTGCAAAGGCCTTGTGCAGTCAGTGCGAGGCCCTCAGCTTCCCTGGTGCTGTCTTTAATACAACACTGACATCTAGAGTCAGCTGTAGTTCATTTGTTGGGAGGTTTTCTCCATTTAACCTTCTGTTTTGGATTTTCTGTATTTCGATGCAGTGTTTATGTTCTTTTCTTTCTTTATTGCTCATTAATCCCTCTTTTTTATTAGTATGTGTTGCTGATAATAAGTACATTCATCATGGGGAATTGGTTACATATATATAGCAAATCTTCATCCTTTTTACTTCCTCTTCCTCTGTCTTCCCTCCTGTGCTCATCTATTCTGTTCTCACTTTTGTTGGTAGCAAGATATAAGTTATTTTGCATATTTTGGCAGGAAAATCCACCATACTGTTGGATTATTATAATACCAAAAAAAATAATTTTTGCTCCATGGTACTTTTCAAAATGAAATTTTCAAACTCAAATTATTGACACTTTTCACTCTCCTTTTTCCCTTCCTTGTTGATTCTAATCTTCTCATCATTTTCACAACTCATAAAGACAGCTCTTCCACTTAAGATTGAGGAATGTGATTTGACTTCCAATCTTCTTCAATATAATATCCATTCCAAAGCTTTATATGTTAAACAAAGCAAACACGATGCATAGTATAAAAGTTCTTCTTTTTTTTTTTGTCTTTTTTGTTTTTATCGGTACCAGGGATCGAACTCACGACTGCTTGCTTGCAAGCAGGCACTTATGCCGCTGAGCTAAATCCCCAGCCCCAAGTTTTTTTTTTTTTTTTTTTTTTTTTAATGCTAAGCTGAAATACTGTTGAAAATGTTAGGCCATTTAGAATTTTCTTGGCAAATTAGGAAAATTTTTTTAGTTGTATTGTGTTGGATTTTTGTATTTTAAAATTTTTGTTAATTTTAGCTTCATTGTTACCCTGCCATCCTTTTTTACAGCGAGCCACAAATGTAATCCATTTACCTTTGATTGTTGTTTTGATGTATGTGGTCTATTCGCAGTTGGATTTTCAGTGGCTCTATGGTCTTTCATAATTGGAAAATGCTCCTCTGTTTTCATAAGTGTTGTCTTTCTCCTGTAGTAGTAAATAACGAGCCATGTTTATGGTTATGTAACCAACGATGCCATCCTCCAAGCAACATATAACCTACTGTGCGGTCTTGTATTCTGGGTTCTGGTATCCTTCCAATAATCCTAAAGGTCAGGTTACTGTTTTTCCTTTATTTAGAGTAGGATGTGGGAAAAGAAAAAATAATTTACTTGTCTAGATGCCATTGTCAAACCGCTGGCCAGTAATTTTAGTTATTTATAGGCCTTCCATAAGGTCTCTTTTTGTTTAAAAGATGTGCTAGCCTCAATAAGAAAAAAGTGTAAACAGGCATTTGTAATTCAGAGTGGTGTCTTGGGTAATTGGGTAATTATCTTTGTGTTTGAATATACACTGAAGGCTGAAATGACTACTTATATGATACTCGCTTTTGGCATAAAATTCTTTTTTAAAAGTTAGAGTAAACTATATTTCATAATTATTATCCTGTTGAATTTGCCTTTTCGATAGTGTCTAAGAAGAAAATATTTTTAGGAAAAAAATATTTTACTAGTATATTGATTTCATTATATTATATTATATTCATTATATTATAATGCATTTTAATATAAATCTGAGAGATCTGATTATACTTTATGGAAACAGTGTATCTGCTCTACTAGTTTTAAATAACATCTTTTTAAAAGACCACTATCAGAATGTATTATAGGTAATACAATATTCTTCTTATCACTTTAACTCCAAATACTAAAGAAATAATTCATTTTTGTAGCATTATTTGCTTCTTTTGAAATGTGAATTCATTTATATTTTTATGGTGTTGCTGGGGAATAGAACCCAGGGCCTCTTACATTGTTAGGTAAGTCTGTCACTGAACTACATCCTCAGCCCTTGGGAATTTACTTTTTGTTTTGTTGATAACAAGAATTGTTTTGGTAATACAATTCACAAATGTGTGCATCATCAACTTAGTATCTTTTCTGCATACAAGATACTGTAAAAAGTAATTTTTGTCCCATAAAAATATTCTTGCATCTATTGAAATCATTAGATGGCCATATGTTTCTGAAAGCTTCCATGTTACTAAACTGTAGCCTGGAATTATTTTATATTGTATCAAATATCTTAGTTATATATTCAAAACAAGTTTTATATAAAAATGCATTTTATGCGGAAATCTTCTTTCAGAGTTTTCCAAGAGAAGGCACTTATTGACAGCTCGTTGACTGCTTAGTTTTTCCAGTGAAGCATGCTTTATATTTGTATTACATCTTTTTGTATTTTATACTTACGGGTTGTTGGCTTGTTTCCACATATCTCTTATGGTATAGTTCTTGAGCAATTTCTTGAAAAATACGCCGAGCACTTCTCTTCTATAAATACAAATGAGAAAAGAATTTGTATGTTGTAGGAGCATAAGTGATGATTGCTGAACATCATCAGAACTTTTTCTTCTTTCACTATTGTCAGTGTAAGAGACTACCACCCCAGCATATCTACACCTGTGGTTAACTCCTTTGTGTTTTGAATACATTAAGTAGAATTTGTAGAAGTAAGCCGCCAAATTGAAATCAGTTGTACTTGAGATTATTATTGAGGTTCTTAGTAGAAGGAGACATTAGTACAGTATCTGTGGTTCAGAAATATATATTCTTTTTTCTTAAAATATTTAAGCTTTGTTTGTTAAAATATTTAAGCTTTAACATAGTTACAAACAGCTACAATTTAAAAAATATTTTACAGCCAGGTGTGGTGGTACATTCCTATAATCCCAGCACTCAGGAGGCTGAGGCAGGAAGATTGTGTCAAATTTGAAACCAACCTGGGCTACAAGGTGAGCTCAAGGCCAGCTTGAACTACATAGTGGGACCCTGTCTCAAAAAGACCAAAAAAAAAAAGAAAGAAAGAAAGAAAAATTTTATGTGTTGGTCTGTACCTTTTGTGAATCTTCTTTTGTTTCTTTGGTTTTTAGAGTGTTAGATTTTGACTGCCAAGAAAAAAGGGAAGGTATAATCATTTTATGCACTCACAACAACTGTGACAGACACCTTATTCAATAAATTTAAACTAACTTAAAATTCAAATGATATACAATGAGGTAATAATTTTCACTACATTTCTAAGGTCCTTTTATTTCTAGATGAATTTAACAATGCAGACTGTTTATTGTAGGGTTTATAATAATTCTAATATAAGTACCCCCTCCTATAGCAAAGATATTCTTTTTTTAGTAACTTTAGGGCTTTCTGAATATTTTAAGGTAGCTTCTAATCTCTTTACTAACCTATTTTTGGTTATACAGATTATTCTTAGGCTTTCATAGATCACAGTAACACTGACTCTCCTTCACTTTCCCATTCCTCATAGCAGAAAGCTGACACAGAAGATGGTGTCTTACTCCCATATGGATTAAAAGAGAAGGCGCTGTAAGCTGTGAACTCTGGTTAATAATTTCATTGATAAAAATGTAGGCCTCTACAGCCTTCTTCTACAGGTGGTGACCCCTGCAGTGGCAGAGGAAGATGTTAATTAGGCAAGCTGTTTCTGAGGCTCACAGTTTGTGGAGAGGTAGAAATTATTTTCCCCTTGGTAATAGTCAAGGCTATACATTCAGTACAGAAACATTTCACTTACTTTGGAGAGAACTCCGAAGATCACACATATGCCAATAATAAAGATTGAGAGCAGGACTAAGAGTGCTATGAAGACACTCTGCAGTTCCTTGCTGAGAAGCTTACTTTCTTCATTATGGAAACAGAAAGAAACAGTCACTGGTGAAGCATATTCTTATGAATATACAGTATCATTAAAGCTAATGTGAATTTAACTTTGTCTATTCATATAAACATTTACTGAGGGTCGGAAAGCTTTCAAGTATATTGATAGATAAAACTAGTTCGTCTGTTCTTTAAAATGTATACCAAAACATTATTCCAAAAATATTATACCAAAAATATTACTCATTAAAAATTAAAAATTCAACTAGCCATCTGTCAGAATGTAAGAATCTCTTTCTTTATGAAGCATGACTTCAGGTTAAACATTTCAAGCCATCATGTTCAAGGGTATTTATAAATTTATTTTGTTAGAAATGCAGTGCAAGTGTCTTAACTTACATAGTTAAGACATTTTTATAAATATTGGTTGATGCTGTTGTTATAACCTTGGAATTGTTACAGCTGTTATAGAGTGCCATCTATAAAAAACCTATAAGGCCATCGATTGAGGATCATAGTGCTTACTGCTTGCTTAAAAGGCATGTTATTGTGATATGTGCTTTTCCTAATAAAGTTCTACAGACAGAATTACTGAATGCATTTTCACATTCTGAATGGTTTTCTCTTGGAAGTGTCTTGTGCTGTATGTAAGGACTAAGTGGTATGCTGTATCTTCCAGCTTCAAGTATCTGATTACATTAGATTTAAAATACAAGTTGATTTAAAATTATCTGTTAAACATATATTCCAACCAAATATGGATGCTTATCCCATTAACTCAGTTTATACAACCTACATTTGATTTGTGAAACGATTAAATTAGAATTTATTTTATTTTTTATTTTTTTTGGTGCCAGGGATTGAACTCAGGACATCACACCTGCCAGGTAGGCATTTATGCCACTGAGCTAAATCCCTGACCCTGTAAACTGAAATTTAAAAGTTTCAGTACTAACCCAGAGCTCTGTAGATAAAGAAGGCAGTTGCCATGTTCATTTTAGGAACTTTCAGTTCTGTTCATAAAGAAGAATCTCTGTAACCTTAATCATTCCAGAAGTCATCATCTCCTTTAATTAACATGTTAAAAAATAGGAGTTCAGGTTTCTAAAAATGTTGTGTGTTTGTTGTAATATTAGTAACTAATATGTATTTATTACTTGCTATATGTGAGGTGTGTGTATTAGCTCACTTCTAATTTATCTTACACATGAGAATAAGCTAAGTTTAAGTGACATGTGAGTATCAAAAGCCCATTAGAACTACAACTATACCCCTAGTAGATAAAAGAGATCATAATATGAGATAGTCTCAGATGCTCAAAAGTCTTGTTTTAAAACTGTGAAGGGCTGATTTTGATATCATTGAAATGATCTCAGGCTTATTGTACCAGATTTCTTTTTCAGAGAAGAGGTTAAAAAAAAAGCAAACCACACACAAATAAGCACATACAAAAATAAGGAGCTACTGCCCTTTTCTTTCTTTTCCCAGAATCATATAAATCATCCTTTATGAAATTTCTTGTTTGTTTTTTTGAGTCAGGGTCTTGCTATGTATTTCAGGCTGACCACAAACTCATGATGAAATTCCTGTGTGCCACACATCTGGCTTGTCCTCCTTTCCCTCTGCTCCTTCCCTTTCCTCTACTTTCTTCTCCTCCCTCCTTCTCTCTTTTTTTTAAAAAAATTTTTTAAGAGGTTGAGTCTTGTTATGTCAACAGGGATAGCCTTGAATTTCTGGCCTCAGTTGATCATTCTGCCTCAGCTTCTCAAATAGGTGGGATTACTTACTTTCTTCGTCTCACACTTCTCAAGGAAATGACTTAGTGAAATTACTGATAGGATTTAGCTAGGTTTGATGTCCTCACTTGAGTGAGGGATTGTCAGAGATGTTAGCAAATTTCAGGAAGCCAGGGCTGTTATTTTCTATTCTCTAATGTCCAGGCAGAATGAGAAGGGTCAGGGTCTACCAGTGGCTTCTCTCCAAATTTATTTGTTTTTCATAATATGTAGTTTTTCTATGCTGAGTTTATTGGCAACTTATGCTTCTCTGCTGTGTTGTTGTAGATGGTACAATTTCCAGCCAGTTCCTGAGAAGACTGATAGTTAAATCCATGTTGAACCTGCTTACTGTAGTATACCCAAAGAAAGAACAGCTGCTACAAGGGCTTGTTTGTGGATGCTGGGCCATGAGGTTGGAGTAGTTCTTGAGTCCAAACATTATGGCAACTTGTGTTCAGATCATACCCTTCATTGGCTAGGATACTAAATTAGCAAATTTATTTCTTAGTTTCTCAATGTGATGTGAAATTTTAAAGATCTGTGCAACATGTAATGATACCCTTAATAAAGACTTAACAGACTGACCTCTTACCACCAGTGTGGTCCCGTGCCCGGTTTGCTTGGCTCTTGGTGCCCCTGTATCAGAAAATGCTATTCCACAGATGTAAATTGCACTGTCATTTGAACTCAGCCTGTTGATAGTGAGAGAAACTTTGTTCTTGTCCAAAACTTTGCTCGTTGTGAATTTATCAGCTTCACTTCTGCATGTTTCCGAGCAGAGGTGCTCAGCTTGGTGAACGCCATATCGAAACCACAGGCTCAGTGGTTGATGTGAAGGGCATCCACTTGTAGAGAAGGTGCATTCTATGGTGACAGCCTTGTGCGTGTAGTCCACCTCTAGGTAACCCGGTTGCTTGACAGAGACAATACAGGACCTTATGGCACCTGGGGAAGGAAGTAGACCAGTGTTTAGCAGGCTCCTTCCTCACATTGTGCTTTTTTCTAGTGTTTTTGGGCTTCAAAAACCCAACCTGCCTTCACACCCACCTTTCCTTTCCTTTCCTTTCCTTTCCTTTCCTTTCCTTTCCTTTCCTTTCCTTTCCTTTCCTTCCCTTCCCTTCCCTTCCCTTCCCTTCCCTTCCCTTCCCTTCCCTTCCCTTCCCTTCCCCTTCCCCTTCCCCTTTCCCTTTCCCTTTCCTCCTTCTCTCTTTCTCTCTCTCTCTCTTTCAGTATAAATAAAGCTATAGAAACAGACACTAGTGGGCCTCACCTGTCCTAACTCTTTATGCTGTGCCATCTGGTTACTTGATAGAGGGTCTAGCAAGAACAGCATGGTTAAACTGAGGTAGTGCCAGAGCTTGAGATAGATGTTCGGAGTCCTGGTATCCTCTTACTGCTTACAAGCTCTCCTTTGATTTTGGGCATATCACGTAGTCTTGGACAGTGTGTTTCCTAGTCTGGACCCCTGCCCTTAGAAGCATTGTGTGTAGCATGGGAAAGTGTGTCAGGCTCTTCATACAAATGTTATTGCTGCTTATTTAGCTCCTGAGCAGGAGTGATTTTTTTTTTTCCTAAGGAGGAGTTAGGATTGCTCATTCATTCATGGCAGTTCACAGTGGTTCCTTTGTGAGCCTAGTGGCCACCGAGGAAACATGATAAAAGGAAAAACATACACCTGTGGAAGTGCAGCCCTGGCATGCTTTCCTTTTAGTTACTGAGCAAAGGCCAGATGAACTAAGTACACCAAAGTAGGCAGATTTGATTTCTTCCTGGCATTCATACATTGCTCTGTAGTCCTTTGTAACTTCTGCCTTATTTGACTAACAATACTGTGATGAAGAGAAGAGTACACACTCGAGTTTGAATCCCAGCTTTGCCAGTTCTAGCTCTGATCTGCATCCCTTTGCTCATCATAGTGGCGCTGGTGTTACTGACCTTATGTGGTTTGTATGAAGTTTAAATGCAACACTCCACTCATAAGGAGGATTCACTTGCCTAAGCCATACTGCATATTTAATAAAAGGTGGTTATTACTGCTGTTTCTCTGCCACTACAATGTCACATACCCATTTCAGAGATAACTGGGGACACTTTTCCACAGGGTGTTCACAGGGCTGGACCTGGACACCCTACCCTACCTAGGGCTCTCTTCACCATGTGGCACTGCTTGGAGCTGGGGCTCCATGTTGACCTTCTTTGTAATCCCACACACCCAAAGCTGGAAAGCCACTCAGAGGCTTATAAATGAGAAGGCCTGCCCAAAATCTTTTTGGGAGCAAAGGAGGTTGTATGTGAACACTACTGGTTGAGACACACTGAAATTTAAGCAGGGTCATAATTTGACTTCTGCCTGGTTGTGTGTTTCCATATGGCCTTATTTGTCTAAGTGCATCCTTTGCTCCTGTAAATGAAATTGAAAAGCAATCCAAGTAGTCTGCTGCTAAGTTTCAAACAGGAGTTCCTTGTCACTGAATGTTTTTCTTAGAGGTCTCCAATCAGGACAGAAGAGGAATTAAAATTAGGACTGTGGCGTTTATGATGTGAATGTGAATTCACCATGTGATAATTTTAGAGTTGGCATAGTTTTAGATGAGCTGGGAGCTTTGTGGTGACATGATATATATAACCAGATGAGGAGAGGAAGTCACTTGGGAAGACCGTTGTGATGGTGGCTGCCAGAGGCCAGCTGGCCGTTCAGCCTGCAGTGCCTGTTAAATACCACCCTTCCTCCTACACAGGCTCAGCCCCTTGGTGGTCTAGAGGAGCACGTTACATTTTACAGTAATGTTTGGGTGGCAGAAATTTGAAGTAGGATTGCACCTGTGAAAATGCAACAAAGTAAAGTGATGTCTCAGTTTCAAATGGTGTTCAAACTGAAGTTTTTAAAAATGAAGCTGATTGTCAAATCTTTCTTTAAAAACTATAGGCAAAGTGAGAAGCATTTGCAGTTTCCTGCTTAGTTTGAGGATGGGAGAAAAGCCCTTGTAGTGGTTTCCTCAGATAGCACAGTCTTATGAGGAAGCATTCTTCCCTCTTCCACCAGTTAAGCAACATTATGCAAAAAGAGAAGCATGAGCAGTGTCACAGCATAGTCAGATCTTGTGAACATTTTCTTTCTTTTTTTTTTTTTCTTCACTACTGGGGCTGGAACCCAGAACTTTTGTACTGAGCAATATTTCCAGCTCTTTTTAAAATTTTTGTTGTTTGTTTTGAGACAGAGTCTTGCTAAGTGCTAAATTGCCTAGGAAAAGCTGGATCCTCTTGCCTCAGCCTCCCAAAGTGGTGGGATTACAGGCATGTGCTACCATGCCTGTCAAAACATTTACTCTTTTGAGTTTTTGTATTCTAGATAATTCACTTTCAAATACTTTCTTCTTGTCCAGAGTAGCTGTCCATCTTCTCTATCTTCCCCCTTTTCCACCTTTGAATAAATGTCTTTTAAAAAAAAAAGTTTTTATGTTCCGTAGGATTTTGTTTTTTTTTTTTTTTTTTTTTTTTGGTCTTTTTGAGATAGGATCTTGATATACACTTTTGGCTGTCCTTGGGCTCACTTTGTAGCCCAGGCTGGTCTTGAATTTGCAACAGTTCTCCTGCCTCAGCCTCCTGAGTGCTAGGATTACAGGCGTGAGACACCATGCCTGGTTTAGGATGGTTAATTAATCAGAGTATATACCAACAATGTTGAGAGTTTATTTTGGTAGAGAGAATAAAAGTCATTTTGCAGTTTTATTTAAACCAACTTAGAAAATTAGAGGGCTAATTTTTATACTTATAAATAACTTCTTATTATAGAAAATTTCAAGTTATGCCAATATAGCCTAGCACAGTGCGCCCTTAACTGGCTTCAGCCCCACCTGGTCTCAGCTCTCCCTCACCACTGCACTCCCTGTGTGGGTAGTGGGTCAGTCCCAGGTATGCCGCCTGCACATCTCTCTGAATACATCTCTAAAGTAAGGCCTTGTCCATAAAATAATACTGATGAAAAGAGTCATAAAAGTTACACACACACACACACACACACACACACACACACATGTATATGAAAAATGGAATATTGCTGAAACTAGAAGCAAGAATCATCGTAGTACTTTTGTCCAAAATAACCACCACTAACAGTTTGGTCTATTTCCTTACAGACAAGAAAAAATAAATTTTAAGAACTTTTGACCTCTTCCCTACCTGTAATTCAAATTTTTGGGGCAAATCTGAGATTATTAGCAACATATTGTAAGAAATACTTTCACAGAGAAAAAAACAAGTAGTCCACATTCTTAAAAATAGACTTTAAGGGATGGCTGTTCTCTCTGAGAGGAGGAGTGGGAGTCTTTGAAATATGTACAATACTTTTTATTTTACAAAAGTCCATATTTTTAGAAACATTACATTTTGAAAGTATTTGTCAGATACTGTACACACATACTGTGTAGAATGTGTTTCCCTTTATGAGAATTGTTACCAACTAGCACATGTGATTGAAAGGATGTTTTCATCTTCTTTGGTGAGATGTTCTCTAAAGCAGTTGAAGGGTACTTTCAAGGTTAATATAAAACTACTTTAGCTATTCTTTATTATCTATTCCTCTGAGGGAAAAAGAAACATCACTTTAGACAATTTGTATAATGTTATACATTTAAAAATTATTCAGTAGGCATTTAAAATATAAACGCTTTAGGCAAAAAAGCAGCAGCTAAATAAATTGAAGGAAAAAAAGCAGCCTTACCTATATAAAATAGAAGTAGGTTGATTTCCAGACGGAGAACAGACTGGCTTCTGTTCACAATCCCCATTTCTGTGTGTGTGTTTCAAGGGTGTATTTGAAAAAAGAGCTGGCTTTTTTTTTTTTTTTCTTTTTAAAAGTCCTTTCTTTTTTAAGAAAGGAAAACCAGAGAGGAACTCTTATTGAGGAACCATAACCAGGAACTTTCTGAAATTGTGTAAAGATGGTTTGTAACAGTTTTGACATTTAAAGTTGAGATTTCTAAATCAGTATGTATGTTGTTTTCATGGATTTAGGTTAGATGTTTTGAGTGAGGTTTTGTTTTACACATAGCAGATTTGTCCAGGAAGGAGTGATGTTTAACTGGTAGTATATAAATTTCTAGAGCAGTAGAGTGGTGAGTCCCGTCCCCTCATTCTGAGCCTCACTCTGAGCCAGTTACTGTTAGCGGTCATGCAGAGGCAGCAGAAGGAGCGTCTTGCGGTAGGACTGTGAGAATTAGCAACCAGTGCATCCTAACGTGTAGGCATACATTGGCTATCATTAACCAGGTGTGCCCTAGTTTTGAATTCCATTCTTTTAAAATAAAAATTGTCATTTTTATTAGTACATGATTGCAGTATACAGTTGTATTTGTTTATTGAGACAGGATCTCATTAATTTATCCAGACTAAACTCAAACTTGTGATTCTCTTGCCTTAGTATCCTGAGTAGCTGGACCTGCAGGTGTGCACTGCCACATCTGACTCTAAGCTTCTTCCCTTTTTAATGTGCTGTGGGGGTGCTCTCTGCTGTGGATCCTTGTCACCCCTCTACTCCCCCTCTCGGCACCAGCAGTCATGTTTTTTGTAAGCAGCAAGAACTGACTCAGGCTGATTTAAGCAGAAAGAAACTTGTGGGCAGGTTATAGCGGTAGCTTCCTGAGTTTCTGCAGGTCTGGAGAACCGCAGGTAGAGGTCACAACCAGGAAGAATGGCGTCATGCTGTAAAACTGGTAGAGTGTTGCGCCACCAAGCACGAGGTAGCACTCCCAGCCACTTGATCTCACCCCGCTGCTCTGCCCCCAGGAGAACGGCCTCTTGCCTTGTTTCTGAGGGTCACTAGTGCTTCATTCTAAGCTTCAGGGTTGTGTGCAGTGCTGTGCTGCAAGAAAGGCTGGGGAGGTGCTTCCCCAGACTTTACTTTTTAGATGAAATTTTGTCTAGGAAGGATCCCAGGCATGGAGAGAAGGTTTAGTACTGGGTCACTGAAAACAATGAACAAAATTTTCACAATAGCTTTATACTCTTGGCCTCTGCTGATTGTATATTTTCTCATTCACAGAAAGCTATTCTAGGTCTAAATTTAGTAATACACTTAAAGATACAGTATGTGTATTTTTTTACATCACTAATGGATCTAAAAGCATCCCTAAATTTCAGTGTATGATTGTATGTGTGTGTGTATGTATGTAGTCAGCACTTGGTTTATATGTAACTTGAAAATCTTTTCTGGTTCCTTTATTCTCTAGGTAACTGATACTCATAGGTTTGAGAGAGACTTTGGTCCGTATTTTAAGAAATGCTGTGAGCTGAATGTGGTGGCACACATCTGTAATCCCAGCACTTGGGAGGCTGAGGCAGGAGGATTACCATTAGTTCAAGGCCAGCTTGAACTATGTGATGAGACTCTGTCTCAAACCAACCAACTAACCAACCAAGAAATGCTATGACTCCTTCATTTTAGTTTTCTACCTACTTCTGGCCTTAGAGCTTAATTTTTATGACATTATTCTGAAAAGTTAGGGAATAGGTCACACTCTCTTGAAAAACACACTGATGATCTGTTTTTAGAAACTAAAATTCAGGTAGATGTGGTGGTACATGTTTATAATCTCAGCACTCTGTGAGGCTGAAGTAGGAGGACTGTGGGTTTGAACCCCACTCTGGGTGGCTTCCAAGATCCTGTCTTAAAGTAAAAACTAAAAAAGAGCTGTTAGTGTAGCTCAGTGTGAGAAGCTGAGTTCAATCCCCAGTACCTTAGTCAGTCAATAAAAACAATCTTTCATGAGCCTGTTTCTATTTTCAGCCTGATGAATCTCTCTGGGTAATAAATTGTGTAAGTTTAATGCATCAAGGTGCTTTCTTGTGTTTCTCAAAACCCTCTTTGAAATATTACATGTTACTCTGATTCAATTCTTGTTTTGACCAGCTTTCTAAATCCATTAACTACTATAAATCCCAGGCAGTTTAAAGGAGCGCCCCATGCCAAATTCATCAGAGAAGATGACTGTTAGTTTTGCACACAGACAATCTTGGGGTTGTTTGTGTTTGTGCTTTCATCCTCAGTAACCTCAGGCCTGTGGGCAGTTGTTTAGCCTTCACAGGAGATGGGAAGAACGCAGGAGATGACTCCTTAAAGTGCTAGTGCCTGAACATAACGAACTCCTGTCCCTTGTAAGTAATTTGTTTGTTCAAGAATTTAACCTAATGTTTTAAATTTGTTTTAGTAGGTGGCAAGTGGGAAAAACCATCAGAAATTTTGGAAATCAAGGGACAGAATTGGGAAGAACAAGTGAATAGCCTGCCTGAAGTGTTCAGAAAAGCCGGCTTTGTCATTGAAGCTTTCACCCGACTGCCGTACTTGTGTGAAGGCGACATGTATAATGACTACTATGTTCTGGATGATGCTGTCTTTGTTCTCAAGCCAGTATAAACATGTGGAGACCAAAGTCTTCAGAGTCCACCCTCAGTATCCGCCCTCCAGCAGAGGGTCTGCGTTCACAGTTATGTGATGGGCGGACCTTTGGGAACTGCCATTCTAAATATCCTGTAGGAATTTAAAAAGCCAAAATACTAATTATTTCTTTGTAGTGTGTAAAAGGATTGTTTTTAAAAAATCAAATACCCAACTCTGTGGATTTTTATTAACTCTGAGTAAAGACTCAGAGTCATACTCCAATGCAGGTCACACTTCAATTATGACGGAAAATATTTTTTATACTTCATTGCAGTAAGAACTCATTCCCAAAGCAATAGTCATGGCTTCATGGAATCAATACATGGATTGTTTTTAATAAAATGAAGACTGGCAATAAAGTTATCCACTCAGTTCCAAATATTGGTTATGAGATATAGCCACTGATACTCTTCCATGTTTAGAAACTCTTTCTGTTGTTATTCAAGAAAATGTTTTTAATCATGCTAATAAACCTTTTTGGAGATGACTTCAGCATCATTTTTGAGTTACTTACCATAAGGCTTTCCTAGCATTTTTTGCTTTGGCTTTGGGAGTACCCAAGGAGTAGCAGCTTGTGGAAGACAGCTTGGCTGTGTGGTGAAGAAAGGCCTCAGATTGAGAGGGAATCTAAATTGCTATGAACGCCAGGCCATCTGGATACCCCTAAAACAGCAGCCCATTCAGATGCCATATTTCAGGGAGCACTTTCACGCTCCAGTCGGTGTCACTTTGAGAAATGCTAGCTTACTTTCTACACTCCTGTTTTTCTGGATAGTCTCAGGTTACTAGAATTGAAACATTGTGTTTAATCTACTAACAGTGCAAACAAAAAATGTTTTTAACATGTTCACAATGGGGACAGAATTTGTATATGTTGCTGTCAGGTGGCTCTGAACCTGTGGTGGTACATGCATGACTGTCCCACTAGGCGATATGGGACAGTTGCATTGGATAATCCTGATGGGACAGTCAGTCGTGTGTACTGCTGGTGGTTCAAGTTGGTGGAAATGTGTTAATTCAATGTCTTTCTCTACAGCTGTATACTTCTTCCCTAGAATCTGGTTGTTTCCCAAATCCTTAGCTGTGTTTATTATTTGCCAAGAATATTGTTTGCTAAAGACCGTGTCAGACATGCATTATATGTGCCTCCAACCATAAACCCAGAAATGTAGCAATAGGGGAACTCTTAATAAGATTAGTGACCATTGTGGATATTCTAAAGAGCAAAGCACTTAGCCCAGAATCTAAAGTCTCTGTAATAACAGATGCCAATTTGAGATTGGGGATAGTGCCAGTGTGTTATTCTCACAACTTTAGTTCTTTCTTCATACAGATGTTTCATTAAGTATTCTCACTTATATACTCAGAGCAGTCATCAAATTAACAAATACACTGCAACCTGGTCATAAAGGAGATACAAAGGCTTTACAAGAGCTACTTCATTATTCATTAAGGCAGGCATTCCCACATCCTTACATCATTATCTTCTGTTACTGCATAGTCATAATAAAAGTTGAGTAATGTGATTTGTATAAAATTGTTACTGGTGTGTTCTAATAATCTCTGCCAAAGGAATTCAAAAAAGTCTAAATATTTGGCAACGTAGATTATAAAGATAGAGGAAGTAAGTAAACTTAATATTGTTCTTTTTTGCTGCTTTACAAACTTTCATAATCAGGCATTTTTTGTTTAACATTTTCAGACAAAAGGAATATTGTTCAAAGAGGCAGGTTGCCCTGAAATGCCTCACAAAGTTTTAAATTAATAATATTGATGATCATTTAAAGACAAGATGCCATATTTTTAACCACCACAAGGCAGAGAAAGCAATATATTTATGCATTTTAAAGAAAAAATATTTCCTTTTGAGGTTCTCTGAAAACCACTTTATTAAAAGTGCTATTTGTTAAAATTGAAATCAAACACATTGTTCTTGAATGTCCTGGTGTCCCCACTCCACTAGATGGCAGTGTTGATTACTGCCCCCCCCCCCCAAGCAATTGGGACTTCGCCACCGCTAAAGTACAATAAAACTGCTTCTTTGTCTGTGCCATTCCTGTGTAAGTGCTTCATATCAAGTAAAGGCTGAACTGGAGAAGTCAAGAAGAACTCCATCTGTGGTCAAAGCCAGCTAACCACTTGACCTTGAAGGTCAGTGGAGAAAGGAAATGCAAGCTGCACCTGCAATTTTTGGCTCCTTGCACCTGCATTCTAAACCCTTAGAGTATTCAAACTACTGATTTTAGAGAAGGGAGGGGAGGAAGATACAATGCCTTAGTTATTTCTCCCTTGAGTGGCGTAGTTTGAACCACTCCTGCATTTCAGACCATCCTCCCCCATCTTCAGTCTTTATATGGTTGACTTTTAACAGAAGATGAACTGAATTGGGAACTAAGTAAAACAGCTGTTTCTGGTCATGTAAGTAAAGCCTTGTT